AAGTGACGTAAAGAAAAACTACATAAAATAAACATACTGGACTGTATGTGTTTAATCATATCGTAAAAATAGTATATAAAATAGCGTCAACTTTATTATATAATATACTAGAGCTATAATTCCATACCAATATGCTTAAAACTCGCCATGAAAAAAGAAGACGTTTTACGGCGGCTGTCGTATTATTTAATATTTACGCAAAATTATATATGACTTGTTTATATCAAAACATCTCTATGACGTTTGAGTCTTACGGATTAAAAATCCCTCTCTCTCTCTCATTGTTGAAGGGTGGGGTTCTTTTCTGAAAGTTGATGACATGCATCAATATAATTTTCTGATAGAAATAATGTAAAGGATTTTCGTATTTATTCCCAAAAGTGTTAAAGGGATTATTAATGCCTAGGCTTATATTTGAATAAACAAAATTTTATGTGAAGGGACGAGACTACTGTCGCATTTTATGCATATTGATTGATGAGATATAGCTTGTATAAATAAAGGGAATAACATTTACTAATAAAATAGGATAGTTCAACATTCAAATGTAAAATATGACTGGGATTGATGAATTAGATGTTCAATATATTTAAATCACTTAATCATTTACGCCTTGTAGAACACAAGTGAGGTTTTACGCAAGCAAAAAAATGGCTGCGAAGGAATTGGTTGAATGGAAAGGAATAAGTCAAATATTACCTGAAGGAAGTTGTGATGAATGTGAAATGATTTGTATTAAAAGTAGCAAAATGTAATAGTAGTTTTTTTTTACTTCCGTTTAAATACAAAATTACCATGAATATACTAGACCCCTAAATTCATAGGCAAATTGTGGTGTAGTTATTTCTTTAATAACTAATTATGTTTGGGTTATTGTGTTGCTGTTGCAATTATATATACTTAAATTTCTTAAAATATTGAACAAAAGTATAATTGCTTGTCTAACGTCAGCACATATGACGCAGTGGGATTGGGTAAAAATATATTTTAGAACAGTGTTAAAGGTGAAGCATTCTCACATGTAGCTTAATTCAGTAACGTCGCACTAGTATTCAGAGCAATAGTTTCGTCCTTAATATCTTTGTTCGCTTGTATCTTTTTTAACGCGAGTATAAATTCGAAAATACGTCTGTGCTTGTAATAGCGAGGGTAAATAGTAAAGCAATTGAAATTACAACGATCTTTAATATACTATAACCATTTAACGAACTATATGCTGATGCCCTTTTGTCCATTGCAAAACAGAACACCTTAAAAAAGATGGACAACGTGTTTTAAGCTGCATTCGGTACGTCATCTTTTTCTGTGCTCTTAAGACTGGTTCCTTATTATGAAGTCTGAAAAAGCTACCTCGTTATAGGAAATCAACCCGATAAGCAGTCTAATCTTTGTTTACAGAGATAAGAAATATGTTTTGACGAACGGAAAAAAATGTAAATAACCAAAGTTTTTGCAATAAATTGAAAAAAGAAAGTGGGTATCAAAATGTTTAGCATATGCATGTGAATATTTCTATTTATTTTGCAATAATGTTTAATACTTTAGGAATTAATCGTGTCATTCCGCAGTAAATCATGCGACATTTTCAAACTCGTAAATGACTCGGTTGCTTTGAAGCCGAATAAAGATTTATTTTCGGCCCTGAGTGTATACCATTTGATTAAATAAGGTTGAAAGGAAGACCATAACAAAGCTATAAATCAACATCGCGGATGTCCTTGAAGTGTATAATGCTCAATCTGATGATAGATTTTGTAAGTATTAACAAACAGCAAAATTACTTTCTTTTAATAACCGTATGGAGTTTTTTCGAAAAAGTTGTAACATAGAATGACTGCGTTTATTATTCACATATGATTATTGTACGTAAATTAGAATAAAATGTTCCGGGACAAAATATTCCCCTTCCATTTTCACTTGATTTATTTATTATTTGGGGCAAGTTTCTCTCAAAGTAAATAAAAATGAAGGTAATTTTCTTTCTTTTCTAGGTATTTTGTATCTATTCCGATCATAATATAGACAAAACTTTTGCAGTCATAACATACCGAGGGTATAGCTTTATACACTTTAACGATCTATGTTTCTAATTTGATCTCTCATATTTTTACAAGGAGAAATATTTGTTGTTAACATTAAATACGATATAGATCTGTTGAAAACAAATGTTTTAAAAAAAGGCACTCCCTGTAATGCGTATGACAGACCAGATCGGCAAATTAACTTTGCGAGAAGGATTGAAATGATAAACCAGTACTAAATGGCTTACGTTATTTTTCTTTGGCTCTTCAGTTTCGTTTAAGCCGATGCTACAGAAGGAATGAGACGGTAGCAGGCATTCCCAACTGTCGTAAATGAGCAAAGTCAGTGATTTCAACCCTTGAATATTATCGATAATGCCGTGTTATGGGTATTTAAAGTATCTAGCACGATTATTTACGTGTTCTGAAAAAATAACGAAAAGTGGCCTTTTTTTAAACAAAATGGTATATTAGGTATTTATAGAGGTCAACTGTTTAACATGCTTGTATAAAAAACTCAATTATGCGGAATACTTTTTATTTGACATTTCTCAAATAATCAAGAATCTTGATATTCACACTTTATGTTGACTCGCGAAAGCCTCGACAGTTTTCAGTTATTCAAGAAGGACATTTTATCTATTTGCCTATAGCTAATAAGTGCTCAGATTTTCAAGTAATTCCGCATGTTTTTATTTCTTTTCTAGGTTTTTGTCCATTTTTTCTTAACAGTTGTATATTATTTCATTTAAAAAGGGCATTTCTTGTTAAATGAATTGAATGCTTTCACAAATGTATTTATGGCTGGGAAAGAAATTTCAAAAACTTCCTAAAAGCGAAGAAATGGATGTAATTAGATGTTTTGGAATACTTAACGAGCGATCCCTACAATTGACACAAATGGGTGTTTCTTGTAATTGGCATGTCACTTGCAGAAATACTGCCTGGTGAACCTATTTTGTAACACACTGAATACAACTTAAAGCGTACTTTGACATCGAGCTCGAAACAACACGAAAATGTTATGATATTTTTAAAACAATGTTTATGACAATCTGTCAGTAAATGATTTCAATATTTAAATTTTTAAGAACAATTGTATATAAATATATTGCACACATTGTAAATAAAAACAAAGTTGTTCATCTACTATCACATAGTGTACATAATGAAAGCTGCTAATTTACCCTATAAAAAGGTCTTGTTTATTATAGTGTCACCCCTACTGAAAGGGCCAGCCATTTCTGTCTTATGAGACACCTTTTGTTTGCATGCCATGTACCTCTTAACTTCTACCACTATGCCAGGCGGATAGAAATCGATTACCATTCATTTTAACAACCTCGCGGCTCACGAAGCGGCCATTTCGGAAAGTGTCCCACGAGAAACATTCATCCTTCAATTAACGCTCCCCGTGGGGCTCGAACCTTCGACCTCCGAATCCGAAGGCGGACGCCTTAACCACTAGGCCAACGGTACCGGTACCTATAAATAATGTGATGATAATTCAACAATTGCGTGTTTAAATATATAATACACTTTGTAAAACGCAAAACTGTACAGTTCAAGTCTTATTTAATTGTCTTGATCTGTTAGTTTTGTTATTACCCTGTTAGTGTAATATATGTTTCGTGCAAGTATGTTTTCATTTCGGTATGTCTTCATGAAATGCTTTGTTTTCTTTAATAAAAGGCGACACTTTAAAGTGACATTATGTTAATTTTTTCATTGTCAAGTTGTGCTAAATTGACTATATATTTCTAAAGATTGGCGAATACAGTTGTGGTTGACCAAACTGTGGTATTGGAAAATGTTTAGAATAAAATATAAATCTGTCTAAAATAGAAAAAGCCTGCCCCGTTTTTTTTAAATAAAACGTTAAAGATGAATTCTCATTGTTGTTTACAGAAATTTCCTTGAGCTATGTGAGTAATGTGTCGTAATGCAAAGTTAACTATAAAACTAAAAGTAGTTATGGCAAAATGTAAACAAACTTATTTTGACTTTCAATTGTTTACTAACTACATACCATCTTAGTTTAAGGAACTTTTAGGAAAAATCGTAATAATGAGACTTGTTTTTTTTTTGTTTTTTTTTCATTTTTGTTAAAAAGAACAATTAATTGATTATTAAAACTATAGTCAAGAAGTATTTGTTTGTTTTATATGGTGTATGTGTATATGTTGATATTTTTTCATTAATGAATATTTATATATATGCTTGTAGATTGTTATACAATTGTTATGTTATATTAACATGACTGATTCTACACACGATTCATTACAATTGTACATTAGGAGAGCTTAAAATTTTGCATTAACTTGTTTGTAAAATGGAATAACAAGCCAGAACAAAAACATATTGTCATATTAATGATAATGGCTTACTTGTGGTTCCTTGTCCTGAACATAACATTATGTTTATGATTTTCTTATAATATTAAAGATCCTGTTACACAATTTTTTTATGGTTTTATTTCATAAATATGATGATCAAAGCATTATTTATAAAGATATTAGCGAATTTAACATTTCATGTTAATAAATGGAGGTAATTAGAAATTTATTTTCTCTAAATTCTAAGTCAAATTTTCCAGTAAGAAATGAATACTTATAATTTATTGATTACATATAATGTGCACAAATATTTGCAGTACATATCTGATATATTCTTCGATGTTTGAAGATTATTTTATTTGCATACTTGTATACTTATATTATTTCCTGAAACTGTGGTACACACACAGTAACAATATCAATTACAAAACATACAGGATCTTTAACCGGTTAAGCAGAGAAATGTCAAGTTATTCTATGACAACCAATGAAATCACTTTAATTCCGACTTTTTTCACAGTATAAATGCAATGCAGTAGTACTTCCTTATACTATTTATAAACTACAAAATTAAATCATTCAGATATTAACTAACACGCTTAATTTTTAGAAATTGCACCTGACACCGTCTATTATGCTTTTCAAGCAGTGCGCACTTTAAATTGACAGACGTCCATTTTTGAAAATAAATTATTATGCGACTAAATAGTGTTTTTGTAAATCTTAAATAAGGAACATGAATAAAATCCACTTTTTGTGTTGTCGTTTACGTTAAAATTGTGCGGATGTCCTCCACTTTGAAGATTATTTATAAAGGAAGAATAACTGACAACGACGGTGAAATGGTCACACAAGTGTTTAAAATGGGTTCGTTAGGGTAACATTTTTATACATATTTCAAATATTATGACCAGAAACAATCCCCTTAGACTGTAAGGTTTGTAAGCTGTATGTTATTTTTGTCTTTAAGAAAAATTGTTTCTCGATGATTATTATACAGAATATTAAAAGTAAATTCTGAAAAACTGACCATATAAAACTTTGTTGTTATCTCTCCTTCTCTTTATATAAATGTTGACAGTGTTGCTGTAACCTAAAGCTATATTTACTACAAACCCTTTACTGTCATCTTGCTGAAAATAGTCCATTATATATAACACACTGTAATTATTTTAGAACAAATGTTATAACTTGTGAACATGTATGTATAGGTACATATAAATAGCTTTGTATCGTGACTTCAAATGTTTCTTTTAGGCAAAAGTGTTATACACAGTAATAAGATAATTTACAGAATAACCATAAAATAAACAAAGTGTTTTAGATGTAAGAAAGGTCATGGTGTTTTTGTGATTTTCTTCCTTTTTTAGTACTTGAAAACAGTTGCATCTAGATTTGTAACTATCCTATAGTGTAACATGTAAACGGGGTATTCTATAGGAGCAGTAAGGACGCCGTAGCAACTCAGCAACATTTGTATGAGAATGTGTAATATCTTGTAACTATCAAAATAATTTCTCATAAAAAATGTAGCATTCTTCTGATCGGAAGGATAGGAAGCGGTATCGTACATTAACCATCTTACTTGAACCAGTTGAAAATCAAATTTGATGTCTTTTGAGACTCACATTCTCACTGTTTCATTGTAGCAATAACGTTATTTGTACAGTAAGATGGCCATTAATTGTCTATATGGACATTCAAAAAGAGTTGTTAAATCATAATTATTCTGTACTTAAATCAGCGCTAATATTTTGGTACCTCATGTACACTCAGAATTACCATTGTTCAATGGATATGTCTTATCCGTTGTAATTAGTTTCTTGTTTAAGGGTAATATTTTTTTCTATTTTGGACCACTCTCTCTTTACAACATGAAAATTTACACGTGGCATATAAAAAAACTTTCCTTCAAGAAAAAAATACGTGACGTATAAAAATATTCACGAATTCACGATTTCAACTTCACGAATTCATGATTTCAACTTCAGGCATTCAAGATTTCACAAAGTTTCATGAATTCACGTAGTCGAAATCGTGCACTTCAATTTCGTGGAGATCAATTATCAATTGAAATCGTGAATTCATCAAGTTAAAATCACATTCATTAAGTTGACATCGTAATGATTCGTGAAGATGAACCCGTTAATTCAAGGAGCTGAAATGTCTCCACCGGTCTTTCGTAACAAACACATTCATGTCATGATTGCGACCTCAACGCATTGTTTATAAAATAATAATAATAATAATAATTATTATTATTATTATTATTATTATCATTATTATTATTATTATTATTATTGTTATTATTATCAAAGTTGTTATCCAATGATATTCGTTACAATTTTGTGTACTTAGTTGACGTTAAACATTTAAATCTTCTCTTTAGTAGGGTTGTTTTACACCCGGAAGAACTACTATGTTTATTTAAATTTACAATGCATAATCTTTTAAGTCGTACAAGTTGACATTGCACGTTTTGCAATATATATATTGTTTTCAATTTCATACGTAGACACAAAATGAAGTTGATATTTTTCATTTATTTGCTGTGACAAGTGTACTTGAAGGTAATGATTCAATTTCATTTTCTCTTACCATTCAGCTGCGTTAAGTGTTGGATTTTGTCAGCTAATTTGATTAATCAAACATCATGTGTGGTTTTGTGTGTCCATCTGTTGAAACCCATATTATTTTTGTCAGTGAATTTTCGAGAATACCACGCTTGATCTAGAGTGATATTCAATGGGAGCTGTTAATATCGTTGATTAATTTCTGAACCATATGACACATATAGAAAAAAATATAAACATTTATCTGTTGGTTTAAAATAGTTATCTAAAGTTCCAAATCTTTTGAAATATTGAAAAATACAAATATTTGTTTGTTGTTATCAATATGCTTCTACTTTTTCATTTGTTTATTTGTTAAATCTCAAGTAAGCATTTGGGATAAGCAATTATATATTTATGAGAAAAACGGCTCATCTACAAAATATAAAAAATAAAAAAGTGCTGAAATAAGATTTTAACAAGATAAACATAACCCTTTAAAGTATATGAAATCATGTTTGTATTCGGGCATATAACTTATTAAAAATGTGAACAACTATGCTTTAAAGAATAAAAGACATATTTCGAAACACTGTTACTTGATAACTTAGCTACCATTTATTTTTTGTACCGGTGTAAATTTGGAAACATTGATGTTGCTTTCGTGCTGTCAATTTTCTTTTGTAATATTATGTCCGTTTATTTCCTTACTTACTTTTTGTACAATGAAGTATTTGAAAATACCTTCAAACAAACATAATATTGTTATACTTAGATATTTAAAGAATTATAGCAAAGATATGTTTGTGTATAAACTTACCAGTACTAACTTAGATGCTTGTTATGATGTGCAAATGATGTGAACACAGTTTGAATGGCCTTTAAAGAGATTTTTATGGAAATTTAAACCACGTCTTTCCTTTTAAAGAAATCAAACTTAAACAATCTTCTGAACCTTGGATGTCTTCTAAATTTTTGAGCAGACTAAACAAAAACATTCATACCTATATAGATTTAAGAAAAATGGCTGCAAGGAAGATTTAAAACTTTTAGTGAAATCAGTACAAAGATTTATAAGAAAGCTAAATCTAAAAAAAATTCTAATAAAGTTGAAGAAAACAAATTTTATCCCAAAAAGCTTTGACAGAATTTAAAAACTGTTTGATTATAAAATCAACAGAAATCTGATACAAGCATTGTGTTGAAATATTAACGGTGAAAATTCACACGAGTCAGTCTCTATTACAAATCATTTTAACGAATCCTTTACAACTGTTGCAGACAAAATTGTAGAAAGACAGCCGACTTGCAAGAATTCATTTACTCTTGATTCCACTATTATTAAAACAGTTTTACTCCAATTACAACTCACAAAGTGAAACATTCTTTTTAAACTCTGTGTCTGAAAATTTTATTGTTAAAGAATTTTGTAGTTTTAAATGTTTGTAAAAGTACAGGTCTGGATGGAATCTCTAAGCTTAAATGTTTGTACAGAAATAGTAGATGTCTGTCTTTCAACTGTAGAAAAAACTGCTTTGCTCTGCATTAATCAAATGTCATTTTCATTATTCTTGTTCCTCTTGGTACGAAAGTTTAAATAAAAGTCTGAAAAAGAAACTGCGAGTAGCTCAAAACAAAGTCATAATATTTATAAAAGATTACCATTCAAGAAAAAGTTTAACTCCTTCTGATTTTAAAGATGTTAAAATGTTAAATATTGAAAATAGAAACAATTAAGACTTAATCATATGCATAAGATTTATTATAACAAGTGTCAAACTTTGTTCGAATTTCTGATGTACACACATACAACACAAGATCAAATAATCAAAGTTTTTCAATTCCGCATTGTAATAAGACGTGAACTTGTACTATTTTCTATGATGGTATTAAAGATTGGAATAGTTTGCAAGATAATGTAAAATGTATATCAAATACAACTTTATATGTGGCGTCCGTGGCCGAGTGGTTAAGGTCAATGACTTCAAACTACTTGCCCCTCACCGCTGTGGGTTCGAATCCCGACCGGGACTTTGGATTCTTTCATGTGAGAAAGCTAGCCAGCTAGCTTTTGGAACGTCGAAGGTTCTACTCAGGTGCCCGTTCGTGCGCCGGAAATAATACACGAAATGGCACCTGAGGTCTTCCTCCAACAGTAAAACCATTGACCTATACTGTGTCGTCGGTGTGACGTCAAACCCTATCAACCAAACCAACATATATATATTAACTTAGTAAAAATTTGCAGTTTTAATATATACTGCTGTTTAAAGCAATCTTGTTTCAATTTGGGCTGCACAGCACCAAAGTGATTTTTTTCTTTTACTGAGTGGCAACAAATGTACGCCTAAATATATTATATTCCTAGTCATCTTATGGTTTTCCTGTGTCTTTTTTGTGTGATAATACAAAACCACTGTGATTATATAGCATTGTCAGATTACTGAAATCTAGTGAGTATTTTTTACCAGGTTTTCCGGAAAAAAAAACTGGTAATTAGAGTGAGGTATGTCAGCGGGCGGGCAATTTCTCAAGGGATTTTAGTCAAACTTTCACAGAAGCTTTTCCATTAAATGCCCTGATGCATATTGTAAGGGTTTTGTGACTGGATAATTTTTGACTTAATTATGGCCCTTTGTTTTGTTTTCTTATAATTATATAATATATAGTGAACAATTCCTTCTGTGCGCAACTACTCTAACATTTCTCAAGGGATTTTGTTCAAACTTCCACAGAATCTTTGTCTTTAAGTGCCCTGATGCATATTGTCGGTGTTTCATGATTGGATAAGTTTTTGCCTAATAATGAATTGCCTTTTTTCCATAAAATGTAATTATTAGTGTAATATATTCTTTTAATCAGAACTACAACATTTAAGCAAACTTTATTTAGTTATAAAACAGAAACTATCTTGATTGTTGGAAGCCTGCCAGCTCATCTGCCTGCTTTTGGGTCCTGTGGAGTCAATGTCAAGGTCATTGTTGCTAAAAACAGAAAATATGTTTCCAGTCAGGACACTGTTACTAAAATAGAAAATAGGTTTCCGGTCAATAACTAGAGTTTGGAATAAGATATTTTTATGAAATTTTTGTAAAGCAAGTTTTATAAAGACCTCACTTGGGATGGCTTTTTGGCCCCCTACGGTCAAGGTTACAGTTACTTAAAATATAAAATTAATTTTTCATGATTTACATTGCACATAGTTACATTGTTTGTTGCTTGTATATGTATTTCAACTTCAACAAATCTATCAACAATGGTGATAATTGAAACCTAATAGAATGTCTATCTGGTTTTATCTTGTTTCCATCGTTTTTGGTTAATTTTTATTTTATTTTTATTTTACTTTTATTTTCATTTATTTATTTATTTATTTTGTTTATATTGTTATAGTGTATACTATACCTGTATTAACGCTGGTAAATTTTATCTCCCCATATTATATCTTAGAATCTATGGTTAACTGGATCGACTATACATATCATGTCACTAAACAATATTATGTGCTAGTTTTTAAGTCTCTGACTTGTTGTTGTCATTATCTGAACTGTGATTTTTAAAAACGTTATCAAATTTCATATTTGATTTGTTAAACTGTTATTTTATAGATGTATATCCTTTATGCAAACATGATCTATGTTGTTGCAAAAATAAAAATCAATAGGGAGATAATGCGATTCGTAATCCAGAGATTGCTCGTTAGACCCTCGGGTAAGGCAGAATTACTCCGCCACTCTTTGGTTAGTTATTCATGAAAGTCGGTAAGATAGACTTACCGCCGCGCCAATATGTGACCCAAATGTGATAAAACTGGCAAAAAACATACAAACATGCATGGGCATCATGCAAGCGGTTAATACACTTGCAACTGAAGATAGAATTACACAGACATGCTACGTAGTACATTAATGTCATTATATGGAAATAAAATCACGCTTAAAAGTCAACCAATCGTTAATCTTTAAAGACAGATTGAATTATGAAGTACAAAATTCCACAGATATTTGACAAAATGTTTAATTTCGCACGAACTTCCCATATTTGTTTTTCTAACCTTCAAAAGTTTTGTTGGTTTCAGAATTATGCTATACAAAAATGCGTTCTATCTTTACAAAAAGTGTTTGCAAATTATATTTATATCATAAGAAAGTACAACTATACTATTAAGTTTATATAAACATAATCGGTTTTTTAATCAAATCTAATCCGTGTTATTGTAATTTTGACTTTAAGGATGCTATGCATGCTCTATCTGGAGTACATGGAGTGCTTGCAGCGTTACGTGTGGCGGTGGATCACAGACTAGATACTGTCAGTCACCAATTAGTTCTAGAACATCACGGGAATGTAATACTTATTGCTATAACCAAGGAACATACACCAATGGAAGGTGTCAATGCACCCCCTGGAGAACCGGAACATGCTGTTTAGGTACTTTAAAGAAAAAATACGTAACACTGGCGTTCTAAACAATAACTGTAAAGTATATGTTAATTGCTATTTGGAGAATATAGCTTTTTTAAGATAAAAGGATTCAATTGTTAAGCAAGCTTGGCACTATTGTGAAAAAAAGGTTCAGGAAATATATTGTCTATACAAAGCGCCATGACATTGATAGTTAAACTCTTTGATGAATATATAAATCATATATGTCGCTGGTAGGAGCATAAAAGTCATCCATACTATCAAATATTTTCTCTTTCTTTAAAAATAACTTACATACAAAACTAAGCAGGTAGTCGACCATTTAGTGTAGCGGTCTTTATTTTTTTTTTTTTTTGAATCCTGAATACGTGTAAAAGTTTTGTCAATATTGTCATTCTCATTTTTTCCCCGTACATATAAATGATGAGTACACAAAATATAGAAATATTGATCCATTTTGATAAACTGGTATTTTATGTAAAATACATTAACAGCCCACATAAACTCTATAACTTTCTTGAGTTTATCTTAAATCATTATTAAATGTAAATGTTATGTCCATAACGTTTTTTATGAACGGATTACGACATGAAAAGTATATATTTGTCTTTTTCAAACTTTTACTCCGCTTTACTAATTGACATATAGAGAACAGAACCGATAGGTTAGAGGTAACGAGGAGTTACCTTATTATTTATGTATATTATCAACGACAAATTGCATTTTATGCCTTAATTCTTTTGAATTATTTGAAACGATTTATCTAAAAAAATAACCTCTATAAAAGCTGAAGCCGCTTTAAACAAACTTATTTTATTATAGGTTGTCGGCATGTTTCACTTCCCCAATGTGTGTCCGGCTATCAAAGTTGTGGAGGGACACCAGATGGTATAAAATGCACGAAATGCAATGACGCTTATTATTCTACAGGATATATTACCCAGTCATCCAGATATAGTTATGCATGTAAAGGTAATTATTAATTTTTTTCTAAACGCTTTTTGTGCATTGTAAAAATAGTATTTTCATTCGTGCACCACTTTGCGGAGGGAATATAGATTTGTCAATGTCCTTCTATCCGTCTTCTAGCGGCTGTCCATATGTAGACCGGTTTGTGTCTCCACGTCTGATATTCCCAAAATAAGCAAAAAATACAATTTTTTGACTTCCGTCGTGTGCAACTCTTAAAATATTACTGCTAGTGTCATGGAACTTTCTAAATGTAAATGAATACCCTTGCAATAGTCAGGATTCTTTGTGACGATACAGCGAGATGTCCTTTGGAGACACGTTTTACTTTATTTAAATTGAATCGACTCAATATACAATTAGTATAATGATATTCTTTAATTACAAGTATATTTTCCAAAATATGAAATTAAAGTTCTAAATTGAATGTAGATGTATATGCATTATATTAATGGATTAAGAAACATTGCAATTTTACGATACGGTGATATATTTAGACGAGACGTGTTTATTACATGCTTTTCGGTGGTTTATAGAAATATATCAGTGATATAAAATTGGTAATTTCACACAGTGAAATTACCACGATAATTTCACTGTTTTAAATTTAAGCCCCTTACGTTGTTTCAGTGAAATACCAGCGTTGCACAGTACTGGGGACCAACTTAATGACGTGACGTCGTAAATGACGTCACGTTGTATGATTATTTGGCGCGCTTTTCATTAATTATTGGGATTAATGTCTTTTTAAAACCTTTCTTTGCATGTAATAAAAAGAAAATTTGTTCACCTTGTTAGAGGTAACGAGGAGTTACCTTATTATTTATGTATATTATCAACGACAAATTGCATTTTATGCCTTAATTCTTTTGAATTATTTGAAACGATTTATCTAAAAAAATAACCTCTATAAAAGCTGAAGCCGCTTTAAACAAACTTGATTTATTAAAGGTTGCCGGCATGTTTCACTTCCCCAATGTGTGTCTGGCTATCAAAGTTGTGGAGGAACACCAGATGGTATAAAATGCACGGAATGCAATGACGCTTATTATTCTACAGGTCTCATTACCCATTCATCCAGATATAGTTATGCATGTACAGGTAATTAATGAGTACTTTTCCCGACGCTTTTTTGTGTAGAATATAAATAGCGTTTTCATGCGTGCGCCACTTTGCGGAGGGGATATAGATTTGTCAATTTCCTTGACAATGTCCGTCTCTACCGCTGTCCATATGTAGACCGGTTTGTGTCTCCACGTCTGATATTCCCAAAATAAGCAAAAAATACCATTTTTTGACTTCCGTCGTGTGCAACTCTTAAAATATTACTGCTAGTGTCATGGAACTTTCTAAAAGTAAATGAATACCCTTGCAATAGTCAGGATACTTTGTGACGATACAGCGAGATGTCCTTTGGAGACACGTTTTACTTTATTTTAATTGAATCGACTCAATATACAATTAGTATAATCATATTCTTTAATTACAAGTATATTTTCCAAAATATGAAATTAAAGTTCTAAATTGAATGTAGATGTATATGCATTATATTAATGGATTAAGAAACATTGAAATTTACGATACGGTGATATATTTAGACGAGTATACATGCATATACACGTGTTTATTACATGCTTTTCGGTGGTTTATAGAAATATATCAGTGATATAAAATTGGTAATTTCACTGTTTGAAACAGTGAAATTACCACTTTGATAATTTCACTGTTTTAAATTTAAGCCCCTTACGTTGTTTCAGTGAAATACCAGCGTGCACAGTACTGGGGACCAACTTAATGACGTGACGTCGTAAATGACGTCACGTTGTATGATTATTTGGCGCGCTTTTCATTAATTATTGGGATTAATGTCTTTTTAAAACCTTTCTTTGCATGTAATAAAAAGAAAATTTGTTTAGTGTAGTGTAAGATCGAAATATATTTCACCTTGTGAACACCAAAAGTTCATATTTCACTCGTGGCTGCGCCACTCGTGAAATATACCTTTTGGTGCTCACTCGGTGAAATATATTCCGATCTTACACTGAACTAAACAAATATCCTCTATATCACGTACTATAACGTTGTTATCATATTGCAATATGTAACAAACTGATCTTTCCTCATAATCCAAACATTTAAATTACAAATATCAAAACTATTTCTTTCTTTAACTTATTAGTTATATGCAACTTTGATAGTACTTTCATCTAATTTAGTTTTTATAAAAGTGCATTTAACTTTCAGCATGTCCAACAATTGCAAATTGCAAACAAAGATATTGTTCTTCTTCTTCCAACACAAGGTGTAGAGAATGTATTGACGATCAAACATTATTCAAAAGAACGCAGTCGAATACCAAATGTGAGAGTAAGTTGTTCGTAATGGAAGTCAGACAGTTTGTTATGTTTTCTATCAGAGCTTTATTAAAAAGCAAAAGTGCTATACATTAGCACTGGTTTTTCTTCAGCGAATGATTTTACTGAAATAAACTGATTCAATTCCTTTGCTTTACTTAAAAAATTCTTATTTATAAAGAAAAAAATCAGCATGATAATATTGTCAATATACTTCACAGAAAGCTTTGAATGAAAGCTATCATTTATATATTTGTCTGTTTTTAAATGTATGCTTTCAAAGTCAAAAATCATTGCTTTTCATAAAATTGTCTATTGTAAAATTAATAAATTAATTTATGAGATCGTTCCATTCTTTATCTAAGGCTGCAATGTGATATAAACAATAGTGTAATTAAAAAAATTGTTCTTCTTTAAAGTTAAGTCTACAAAGTCACAAACAGTTTGTAGTAATTGCCAATATAAACAAATATCATTTTATTGTTAAACTGTGAGCCTGCAAAGCGAGAAACATCGAGAAAAACGTTCATTTTCTTAATATGGCCTTCAAGTTGTAAACCAATACTTTTATTTAAAGTCTCATTTTGTTAATGACGGTCTAAAAGTGAATACAATTTATTTTTAAGAAATCTGGATATTTACTGATTTGGGGTTCTGTAATTTTTACCATATGAATATGATGCTAAATATATATCATGAAGCAATCAGTTCACATAATTTATTGTAGTCCTCTAGCATTATAAAAATGATTGAAAATTGAAAACAGTAAGATATAGTAATTGATTTGCATTGCATATATACATACTGTTTAAAGTATAAAATCTAATCTATTACTTCGCTAGTCTTAAATACAAAGATTTTCAGAATTTTTGAATGGAAATATCTAAAACAATAATATAAAACATTGTCAAAATATTTCAACTGAACGGTGCCATTTTTATGTTTTGTGCAACCAGCAATTTATTGTACATACATCATTGGTGTTTTTCGTTTCAAGGAATGTGTGCTTGGAACAACCATTACTGTTGGCCCGGTTCTTGCTCGAACGATCTTACAAGTGGCTGTATATGTGCACCTGGTTTTAAAAGAATTCAGACATCTTCGGAGACGACATGTCATCCTACAAAATTACCTTCTTTCCTGTTATGCAATACAATATTCATTGGAACTCATGGTCAAAGCAAGCGAGCAAAGACCAATAAAGATGGCATCCAAAATTGCAGTTCAATTAAAGATACATATGGAAATTTCCAACTATCATTACTTCAATACGAATTGAAAACAGAATTAAAGATTCACATTTCTGGCTATAACCAGCCTGGTTACATCAGAAACTATAAATTTGGGGTGACAGACATTTCAATTAATGTCAATAAAATTGCAGCAAATGGTGAGTTTAAAGAAGTTTTACTTTCTGTTTTGAAATAGTTCTGTGTTTATAAGCTAAATTCATCATATACCTTAAGATATGCTTGGAATTTTAGACACATGTTTAGTATTCAGTTCGTCCGTTAAATATCAAATTGATATTCATACAAAAACGATTATTGATCCTTGGCAACATAGAAGCTATAAATACTGACTTTGATTATAAATTCAAAGTGATTTCTATTTTGTTTCCACACTTAAATGGATATTTTTCGATATCATTGATAAAGAATTCAAATAAGATAAAACAGTTTTGTTTAAAGATGACCTACCATAAGATACTAAAAACCTTTCTAGCGTAATAGTCTGAGTTAATAATAAACCAGGTTTAACGACAAGAATTAGCCATCAACAATTTGGAGATGCGTCACTGAACAAAACTATAAATTATGTGAGGCAGGACAATGGAACCATTCAGATAGATCAGGCATTGTCTAGTGTCAGGGAAGGCGACTCGTAAGTAATCTTGCAACATAGCTCACAATCCAGCTGTACTAAGGTACTAAATTTTGATGCAAACATGTATAAATTCATCTTTAAAATTTCTTAACTTTTAATTGTTCTAAAAAGATATACTGTCACCTATTTAAAATCTGATATCGGCTAGTACACTTATTCATTAGCACTTATTCATTATCCCTCATGTACAGACTTAATCAAACTGAGTTTGCCATTTTCATGTAATTTTTTGTGATTAATGCTTCCGAGGGATCACCTTTGTCTCCAGATTTTTGTACTGCACAACAGCAGGTGTCAAGTGCTTTGTGGCAGCAGTTAAAAGTTGCCCCGAACTTTACTTCAGTGTTGTTATATTTTTCTGGTCCATCGGGATCATTAATGCACTCTTAAGTGTTGAGTATTGAGTACCGCTCAAGCCGGTGCTAGGGAACGTATGGGATGTTGCATTTATTCATTATCCCTCATGAACATACTCAATCAAAACGAGTCTGCAATTTTCATGTAATTTTGTTGTGATTAATGCTTTCGAGGGATCACATTGTTTCCAGATTTTTGATAAGGCTGTTCATTTAATTTTGTAGACTTTGTATTGAGTTTGAGGCATTCGGAGGAGGGTATTTAGAGAGTAAAAATCTCATAACTCTAAAGGTGAATCCGTATGTCCAGTACCAAAAAGTCAGTATTAAACGCACTTTATGTTACACGTTCGATCAGACACCCCCTAGACATTGTAGAGATACTGGATCTTGCAATACAGAGCCTTTACATATCCTTCATCCTGTAACACGGTCTCCGATTAACCGGGTGTCATTTGCTGGATGGATTGATCCAATTCCTTTAAATGGATCAGCAAAGTATGCCTCCACAATACAGGATTATACAATAAGTGTTCATGAGGTAATTTCGAAGAAAGGACAGTTGCAACTTGACTATTCTACAATGTATATGAAAGTAATGAACGCTTCGAACACAGATACTTCTTTGTATCTTAAACCTGATAAACCAACATTGTATGAAGTGAAACTAGAGGTTAAAGATTTTGCCGGCAACGTACAAGAAGCAAGAAGATTTATGCTATATGATGATACATCATTTATTGAAACAAGAGGCGACAAACCAATCATTGTTGAATCAGCATCTTATCTTACAAACCATACATGGCAAACACGTGATACCATTTGTCTGACATGGAAAGATCATTTTATTAACAGATTCTATACAAATGATAATTTACTCGGCCCTATACAGCCAGAGCAAAACAGATTATTTACGGGTGTATATGAGCACAAGTTCGGATTACTATCGGTCCATGGTACTTTAAATGTGAACGGTATAATAAAGTTTTTAGCGACAGTATTTATTAATGGTAAACAAACTGTAGAAACTGAAGCTGCAAATATACAAGAGCAGTCATTTTGTAAAAATATCAGTAATAATGATGGCGATACTTTCACAATCACGGTACAAGCTATTGATATTGCTGGTAATACCAAACAAGAAAACGTAACTGTCTCTATAGACAAATCTAAACCGGAACTTGAATTAATGAATGTATCTAACAATATTGGCAAACTTCCAGCGGTAGAAGTGCCTACGTCTTCGCATAGTATAAAATTCAAAGCATTAGATCGTCATAGTGGAATACGAAGTATATTTTGGGTATTTGGAATAACAAATTCAAGCTTAAACATAGCAACAGGTGATATTAATGTTCATACCTTTAATAACTTACAGGTAAGCTGTATGCTTCTTTTTCTTTTTTATAACGTAATTCTCATCTTTGCTATTTCATTCCTATTTATTTCATTTCTTGTTTTTTATTTATTTTGATATTTCAATTGTTATACATCTGATGTGTAAAATATCATAATATGATAAGTAAACTTGCATTTAAGATAAGATATTTGTTCTATTGATAAAAAGAAAAGAATGGCATACTGTAATTATACATTTCCTTCCTTTCCTTTCCTTGATATTCTACATACCTACTAGGAAAATGTCTTTCTTTTATATACAGACTATTATTTTGCTTTTAATGCAGTCTTGTCATAATGGTACGTCAACGTGCGACTGTTTCGATGGCAAACAATGTGAATCATTTAGCTACACCCTACCAGTAAACGCATTAAATTTGTGCGACAAAAAAGTGAAAGATCATTCAAATAAAAACTTCTACATTTCAATCACCGCTACTAACTTCGCATTGTTGGAAGAGACTCGGTACATTGATGTTTCCATTGATTTTACCAGTCTAGATGAGTTATGCAAAACAACAAATTGTAAGTTAATTAACCTCTTTTCTTTCAAATAATCCATGACTATCAATCTTTTAGTTACATTTTAACTGTGGATTTTCCGTATTTCCAAATGATATTCAGATATAAAAACCTTATAGAGAAATGGCCCCTATATCGAAGAAGAACTGCCATAATTTCTTTGATGAAACATTTTATATCAGCATTTTAATTTTTATATTATATGTTCCTACTTTATAAATATGTTGCATTTTACAGATGTGACAATTTTTGTTGGTGTATCAAGCGGCATTTTAGTCGTTTTACTGGCCAGTATTATGACTTTTGTCATTCTAGGGGTACGACGTAGAAGGCGAAAAAGTAAACAAGGTATTGAAATGTTCTGTTAGCATACAAATTGCAGTAGTTATTTACATTCAGCTGTATAAATATTAAAAAAAGGCAATTTCTTGTAATGCATCCGTTTGTCATAACAGACAAAGCCTATAGTATTTAAATTACATAAACATGTATAGCATTCCATTAGCGGTCAAGGCATTGTTTAGTAACGTTTCGCACAGAATATCCAAAAGCGTGTAATTATATGTTTCATGATTTTTACCCAACGTACATTTCAATGGCTGTCATTCACAGCGGTCCTTGCATGGACATGGTAATATTCACGGAATAGCTTTACTTTAAAGAAAAATCATATTGCATTGGTTACATGAGAAAATATATGTTCAGCATAAGTTTTCTAGTCATTAAGTAGTCATGCATTGATGCAATTCTTAAACTTCAGGATCGGCTGAAAATAACGGAAACATTCTGTAAGTAGAGTTTCATCGTAATTTTAATGTTATTTATATATTTTAAAATAAATAAGAAAATGAAAAACAGAAAAGCGTTCTTTACACAAGACAAAAGCTTTAACCTACATTTGCAGACAGATGCATTCTTATAAATGTTTTAAGTGCAAACCTTCAATTCAATGTTGTTATATTTTTCTGGTCCTTCGGGATCTTTGTTGTCAACGCTGTTAAGTGTTTAGAATTGAATATCGCTCAAGCAAGTGCTAGGGGACATGAGGGATGTTGCACTTTTTAATTATCCCTCAAGTACAAATTCACTCAAATCGAGTCTGCAATTTTCATGTATTTTTGTTGTGATAAATTCTTCCGAGGGATCACCCTTTTTCCAAAAAAAATGTAAAGAACATTCGTTTTTCTCCCCTGATGTACATATCATGATGAATATGCTTCTTTTTGTTATTTATACTTCTGCAGGGAATCCTACGAGAACTTGGAAAACGTTCCAATGAATAAATCCAAAATTAAAAGCAAATATAAAGGCAGGTATGTTGTTTCATTAATAGAAACCTTTTCTGCTTCATTTAAAACATAGTTTTTTTTAGTGAATCAAATACCAAAAAGAATATAATTTAAATGTTGGATACCAAAGGAACCTTTGTCAATATATGTTTTGATTCACAATAGAATGATTTTATAAAAGGTCGTCCAAAACTTCATATCATTGGTTCTAATTTGTTATTTACCATTCTTGAGCAGTTTAGACATTTACTTTATTCATCGTATATCATAAACAGACACATTTTTAATCGTTTGATTTTGTATTCAATTAGTTCTTATAAGTTTGAATACATCAACAAATATATTCCAACATTGACTTACTTTATGAATTTCAACAATGATATCAATACCTAAAACTTTCTTTGTGTTAATATTGGTCTACAGATCTAATATTTTACATGTTGTGTTATTCCCATGTAAACAAATTGTGATGTAAGGGAGATAAAGATGCGCATGGGTATAGAGTTACAGGTGAATTTTGGCGTAAAGGTGCAGATATGTAGCTATTTTAAGGAGAAGATATAACAGTTTGACTATGTCACTCGTGAAAATACAATTTTTGTGTACATTTCATGAAATAAAATAACACCAACAAACAAAAAATCTCTATATCTATAGCTTTATTTTCGAGAACGGCTTCACATTTGTCTTTAGGCTTCTTAAATTATTGTGATGGCATGCAGTCACTTAATAATTGTTCATATTCAATAAAAATTGAAGGAAAAATATGCAAAGTTACAAAAACGGTATAGAGCGTAAATGAAATACACTCAACTATTTAATATTTTCTTTTCAGGAACAAAGGTCACTAAGAAAGCAAACCTGTAAGTTTTTATCTTACTCCTCGACTGAATGATATTTCATAATTCCTTTGAATGATGTTAGACTCATAATATACATGTTTATGTCTGGGTCAATTTATAGATATTTCTGTTTCAAGAGGTTGTTTGTCACATTTAAGTTTCATAGAGATGTCGTTTAGACACTATAATAGTTTTTTTCTTTAACTGGTATCAAATTCTTGTTTTTCCTGCTCACAAACGACCTGTAATATTTTTTTCAAGAGATAAAAACGAGTGACTGTCGATTAACATCCACCGTTAACTTCAGACTTGACACCCTGTGATTTTTTCATCTTTCATAGACTGAAAATAAAACATTTTGCATGTCATCGCTATAAGAGTAGTCATAAACTTGTGTCAGCCATGTTTCAGGTATTGAAAGATATACCGAAAGAAGGACTATGTTGAAACATTTAAATTTTGATTTTTTTATGTTTGAAACTTTATATATTAGAGGGAGAATATTTCGAAGGGTTGAAATAGAAAATTGTAAAATATTCTATCTTCAATTATATTTATTGACCATATTACATTTCATATTGACCTAATCTCGTACATTGTAGTTTTCTATTTTAATGTAAAGGAAAACTATTCCGTAACTTTCATTTAGCATCACTTATTGTCATTCTTTTTCTATTTGTCTGTTTGTGGCTTTAAGTGTATTTAGAAAGGGGCCGTTTGCGTGTTCATGTAACTGTTTTAATGTATTTGAATTGTTACCGCATTGTAGAGAGAATTATCAAAACCTTGATCACAAAGATGTATGTGCTGAAGAATCATATGATAATATAGCCAGTAAGTTATCTTAATAATGTTTTCACTTTTGTTTGTAAATGAAATAAGGACTTTACGTGCTAGGCAGAATTTAATATTTTGATAAGTCGAACGGCTGTTTCTATGTTTATGATGTTAAAAAATAATCTTCTTTTAATGTACACTTTTCGATAGTAAATGAAAATTCTACATGACGTACAACATGTACAAAAAAATAAACATACATTTCACGTATACATCTTCATCATATGTTTTACTTTTAATATATCTTGATATAAATCTAATATAGTATTTGCTGTATTGATATTTTAGTGCACCCAGAAGAAGGAAAAACCAGAAGGTAATCATTCTAAGTGTTACCTATTATAATATTTTACCAATTGTTCTAAAAAGACATGGTCATGGCACCAAAAGCACATGCTAACTATCAATATCTATTGTTTGTAATATCATTATGTGATTGCCGTAATGAAGTATTCGTTCTTTGCAAAAACCACAGTATTCAATTGCAATAATAATTTACGTGAATAGATAGTAATGAATAGATTAGGTCACATGGTTTTCAGTAGTATTTGACGTATACACAAATAAAGATTGATATCATTTATTAAGAGTTACTTAAGTGCACAAAGTGCATTAAACAGCACCGCAAATGAGGGACAATATATACACCATGGGCATTGAATTACACGTCTTTTTGGGGGAGATTCGTTCATTATTGCAATACATTGTAGTTTTAATGAAATTGTAAAATCATCATTATATCATGTCAACTTGTTTTCTAAGAATTTACCCTTACAGTTGATATTTTATATTGTCAGTAACACAGACCAAAAACCACAGCGAACAGAAAATAATGTTTATGAGGACATTGCTCGTAAGAAATGAATAAGTTTATATGATTCCGTTAACATAAATATTCATTATTGCATAGAACAAATTACTCTAAAAACAGACAAACAGGTCCAGAAACTTAACGACTACTTTAAATGTCCAATTTTAATCAAAATATAATTAAGACTGCTACGAATTTTACAAGAACTTAAGAGGATATTTCAGTATTGTACAACCTATAACCGCGTCGAAATTGATAACATTCATATTGCTAAAATTATATTAGGATTTGGATATAAAATGATATCGGGGTACAGATATGTGATGCTATCTGGATGTGTATAAGGAATAAAATTGGGTTGCAATAACCCATGTACAATTGCATTAACACCATAAGTACTAGGGAAAATACAACGGTTAAAAATAAAATTGAATAACGTAAGTCATATAATTCTTGCATCTGCATGTAATGAACTTTACCTTTCAGCATCGAAAGTCACTAAACCAGCACATTTGTAAATTGTTTTACCCTTCTCCAAGTCTTATTGAATAAAATACCATAATATCATTTGTGTTGGTATGTACAGTGTTTTCTTGTTAATGTGAAGAAACTTGGTTTTCTTCATTGTCATACATTTAGACATATAAATACAAAACATTTATTTCCAAATTTTCTCTAGCTATCTTTACTGTTTAATAAGTGTAAGCCTATACTTTAAATGGTACATCATTTAATCAGCCATTCACATTCATTGTCAAACATGTTTATTCTCCTCTTTTGTAGAGAAAGTTACCAAGATCTGAATGTCAAAGAGATATGTACTGAAGAGTCATATGATAAGATAGCTAGTTAGTTGTTTAAATAACATATTTAGCATTACATGTAATAATATTTAGGTCATAATAAGCTATAACATGCAGTACAAAAAAAATCATTTTCAAAGGTCATGCTATATCATAAATTCTGATTCTATAATTACAAATAAATAAGGCAAATAATATATGATAGACAAGATCAACAAGAAAAGGCAACGTTCAATGAAACGAGCCTGATTTTCTACTTCCATGTATACAAGTGTTATTTCAGGTATTCAAATGAATATTATTCAATCTTGGAACGGTGATACATTTACGTTATAATACATTTATGTAAAATATTAATGTAATTTCACCATCATTTTTTTTATTTCATTATCATCTTTATTTTTAGATATATGATTTTAACATTGATATTTCAGCACAAGTGCCTGAAGAAAGCGACAATACTGAAAGGTAACTATTCTGATTTTGGACTTGGGGCTATTTCTTTCAGATTATTTTTATTTCTACCTGCTCACTGACCTTTATACACTTAGATAGACATAATGTCACTTTAACGTTTTACAGATAAAATGCAGTACAACATTTGTGACAAAAATGTTAATTATTACATTAGACAGTCCCTTTGCCCCATAATTAAACTTCAAATATATCGTACAGCATTATTCTCATGTTGTGTACTGGTATGTCAACTGAGATTTACTTTTCAGAAGTACAGATCAAAGTCCAAAGCGAGGAGAAAGTCATATTTATGAGGACATTGCCCGTAAGAAATTCAGTCTTCGTAATATCTCACACTAATTTGATTCATATTTTTTCCTTATGATACAGACACGCGAAATATCCAATAGAAGCTTTAACCTAAAGGAAGATATCTTAAAGGTCAATATAATCTTGTTAAAATAATTTAAACTTTTTACATTCTGTATGAGGACGTAATTGGTCAAACAGTTGGAAAGTATACTTAAGTCTTCATATGAAAAGCTTCAGTATTCAGTACTATAACATGTATTTGTCCGCGACAACAATGAACATGAGTTTGAGATAATTATCAGTTACATTTTAAGAAGCCTCCTTTATAAGAACATCTTTTTATCATATGCAGAAAACAACCTGAAACGACCAGCTCCAGAAAACGACATAAAACGACCACCTCCAGAAACTGACGTAAAAATACCACCTTCAGAAAACGAAGTTAAAATACCACATCCAGAAAACGACATAAAAAGACCACATCTAGAAAATGACGTAAAAATACCACCTCCAGAAAACGACGTAAAAATACCACCTCCAGAAAACGACATAAAAATACCACATCTAGAAAATGACGTAAAAATACCACCTCCAGAAAACGACGTAAAAATACCATCTCCAGAAAACGACATAAAATTACCACCTCCAGAAATCGACGTAAAAATACCACCTCCAGAAAATGACGTAAAAGGACCACCACCAGTAAACGACGTTAAAAGAACACCACCGATCTCTCCAAGATGCGCAGTGAAACAATCAAATGATCGCAAAGCCTGTGCACATGAAACGAACATTTACGGGAATTTGATAGTATAAGTTTTATATCACAATGAAAGAATTCAAGTTTCTAACAGAATATTCATTTATGTATTTGAATAATACACTGAAGTGACGTTTGTTTAGTTCATTAAATTCCATATTTTGTCAAGAAAAAATATAGGTCCAGGTTGTGAGAAATGTTAAACATTTTGTTATATCTCAAGAAAAGGTCAAAACCTGTTATTTTCATTTTTTGTCCCTTTCATTGCTTCCCATTTGCAGAATGTGTACAATACATAAAGGCATTTTTCTTATTTGAATGGGGCTTCTGGTCTGGTCGGGACTACTATTCCTGGCATGTTCTATGAATGTGTTGAGAGGCTACGAGAAACACCGAAGGGCAGGTGTTGATCTGTCATATAAGTGTAGTGGTCGTCTCCTTGAAATTGCCATTTTAGTCCTGTTGCTTTGTAATTGGATGGATGAATTTTCACTGATCTGAACGCGGACGCTAAATCTATTTTTGCAAAATAACACTTAGGTATCACTTAGTCCACGGCATCCTGTATTGATTGATTTTAAAAGTGATTAGTAGACGCAAAATAATTTAAAGATGAACCCGTTGGGCGGCTGCAATCGTGGATCAACCTAACTTTGTTTGAATCTTTTTTAGGAATAGTTCCTAGTGCAGACACAATGAAAGGTTGTTCATGCACAATTTTATAATGTCCATTAGCTAGTTCATTTTTGATCTGAGATTCAGATCGCGCGCGCATATTCCCGACGTGGCAGATTTATAATTGTCCATATTTACGGGTTTTTTAATAGCTTCTGGGTCGACTATATGAAAGCCCTATTTAATTCCTGTTAAGAGAAATTCACGTTCACATATATTTGGAAGGTTGCGCTCCCATGGGTCATAATTGAGTGACGTAGTTGTATGTCACATAGAGGAAGATGGAGGTGTTGCCTGTTGCACATTTTATGAGGAAGTTGTCTGTTTGTTGTGTAATTAAGTGTGCCGATATCGACAATTTGTACCAAACGGGCAGGATCTCTCCGCTTTGAAAATACGACAATCTTCACGTGGCTGATTGGAAGTTGTACCTGATGTCATATTCTGTCGGACACGCTTCGGGATGAGAATTTGTAATATATGTGGGGTGAAAATGATCCCCATTGGAATTGATGTTCTGTCTGAAGTTCTCTATACGAGTGGTCAAAATTAAGCACATTATTCCATTCGTATATTTCGGCGAATTCGTAGACTTTGATTGTGTACGCTAGATAATATTCAATAGTGGTGCGCTGCATTCCCCTGTCGACAATAGATGGTTAAGCAGTCGCATATTAGCGGCTCCCCATTCTTCAAATATGGGTCATCCTCCTCAGTTCGCAAGACCAGCATCTCCGCATCGACTGTGCCTGTTTTTTAGGATAAATTCCTTCCGACTATTTTGCCGTCTTCTCTTACATTTTTTGTCAGGAATTGTGTAATATGGACCGCTTTTTGAGATTTTGCTTTTAATGTTTTAGACGATAATTAAATTTGTATTGATGTTCACATGTACATGTATATTATCATTAACGGAGGGTCACGTGAATTTTATATGTTCCATATTTTTTGTTGTCTTATTAAACTGTTTTTATGTAACATTTCTTGCTTAATGATCATTTGTCATACTTATTCATGCTTTGTTTCAAATGAATATTGTTAGCTTAATATTTCTGATCGCACATTATAATTTGTCATAAATTACGTAATCTTACCTGCTGCACATTTCGTAGTTGATAGCTATAGATAGTTTTAGTTAATAAAGATCTCAGTATCCCTTATTTGTCATTGCTTTTTGATTAAATAGAATTAAATCTTTTTAATTTCATTTAGATTTTACAAACAGCAGCGCCCCTTTGCAGTGCCCCGTTTAATGCCACGTGACGTGCCCAATGGGATTCTGGGAGTTACCATGAATCGCTGGTCAGTTTTAAGCTTGCTTTCTAGCGCTATACATATAATAAATATGCTCAGCAATTTACCACCCTTACCCTCCCTTTTTTTCTTTAATATTTTTTTTTATTTCATGCTTTTTAACCAGAAGTAGACGACGATAACTAAATCTGTATTGATGTTCACATGAACATGTATATTATTATAGACGGAGGGTCACATGAATTTTATATGTTGCACATTTTTTGTTGTCTTATAAAACTGTTATGTAACATTTCTTGCTTAATGATCATTTGTCATACTTATTCATGCTTTGTTTCAACTGAATATTGTTAGCTTAATATTTCTGATTGCGCATTATAATATGTCATAAATTACGTAATCTTACCTGCTGCGCATTTCGTAGTTGGAGCTATAGATAGTTTTAGTTAATAAAGCTCTCAGTATCCCCTCATTTGTCATTGTTTGTTTTGTTTTTTTGATGTCCCAATTAATTGTGAATGACTAAGGAATAAAATATCACAGAAATCATTTTTTCAATAAAATAACTGTTTATTCGTATGAATGTAATATGCAAGTTTGGCTGCTTAATAAGCTGTTAAAATAGTATGTTACGAAATAAAATTATTCATACAGTAAACAAACAAGCTACGAAATGTTGCTTCATAGTTGTTTGACAGGTTTTACAAGTACAACTATATAAGTATATATTTATATCATTATGGTTCAAGGTGGCTCCTTTGTTACTAGTAGTTAACTTCTGAGCGAGTAAAATAGAGAACGGCATAGAAGAGATATTGTTTGTTCAAATTATCTTAAATTAAATACATATACTAGATTGATTAAAGTACACATCATACAGTAGAAGACATGAACAGTTTGTGATGCATGTGTTTAAGTAAGAAATTGAAAATTAAACTGCCAATCTCCATGTGACTTTCAACGTGGACAACATCATCGACCATTAAAGATTCATTAAGTTGAGCCTGATATAAATAGATTTAATCATTTTCTTCTCGGTTTTAAAACATGCATTTCATGATACAGAATAGTGTTTACATTACTTTATAAAAGTACTTATATAATAAACCCCATTTAAATGTTCAACCTAACATTACAGGCAATATTATATTGTCAATGTCTCAACATTCTATCAGAATAAATCCGTGAAAAAAACTTAGTACGTTTTTTTTTCAAGTTAATTACAATATAAGTATTTTTCACGATCTGTTTGAAATATTTAACAGGTTAGAAACAAGCATTGAAATGCAATATCTCAGGTAAATAACGTGGAAACGACATTTCCTCTGCTGGCTGTAACCTTTAATATACAGAAAACGATATTAGTTTATATAGGTTATACAAATTCATTAAATCTGAATTGTGCAACATTTCTAGTCTACTGCCTGAAAGGTCTAAAATACATAGCACATTTTAGTGTCTAACAGAAATATACTTTGTTGTTTTTGTGCCTTATATATAAATATTGTGTTAAAGTCACATTGAGCCATGTTTTTTTTAAACTGTTTGGCACTTTGTTGAATATTTCTTTCAAACAATGTAATCGTTCTCCTTAAAATATCCCACCAAACTAATTGAAACGACTGTTTCATATAACCAGGGAGGATAACTTGTGTATAGTGGTTATTCTGGATGGTAACAACTGATCTCTCTAAGTACATTGGTTCATTTCTTTTTATTGTATAAATATCGACGTACGTATCGGTGTAGGACATTGACGGCAGGAATTTGAACTTTAGTGTGGAGAAACAGTCTGAGCAACGTTGGTTCGCTGATTTTAACATTAGTCATTTAAGCATGTGTCGTAGCTCCGATCATAGTAACAAATCTTTGAGTCACATGACAACAAATACTTATGCAAGCCATTTTAAATTATGATTTAATCATTAAGTCATTACTTCCCAGTTTTGTCAATTTTGACAATATTGCTATAATTATATTTCCACAAATATTTTAAAGACGTTATCATATGGTATCTATAAAATCATGTACCTTGTTATTTGAGACAGAAAACAGCTATACAGCTTTCAAAATTTTCTAATGCAACATTAATATATTTAGCGATTAGATCGTTAACTTTAGTCATATGATATGTATTACTATTCCTTTTTATATTTTAAAATTTTATAAATAAATGTGAACACAGCGTATTAAATGAGTTGTCATTCATATAAGATAATCAAAATTGTCTTCCGGTTATATATTTGCTTCTATTAAGCTTTTATTGGCATTTCACAGTCAAAAATTGTAGACGCAAGGCTAGCATACCCACCCTAACCCCGCCCCCTGTGTATTTTGTACACCTATATAGTATTGAAGCTTAGGGTATATGCTATCGATTGGCACTTGTTGTTTACCTGAAAAGTTTACCATGAATCCAATAGAACAAGTTGATTATCTGCCCTTGAATAATATTTTTTCTATATAAGTTTTATAAGATTTCTTCAGGTATCTTCTCTATGACGGCGTAAGTTTTTTTATCTAAATATTGTTTAGAGTTGTAAATATATGTTTTATGATTTATACAAAAAGTTTTAAGTTTTAACATAAAAAATAACATAATTAATGGTGTCCGCCATTTTAAAATGGCCGCAAATTATTATAAAGATAAACACTTCACAACAATATTCAATGTGTTTATACCCATTTATAAATAGTTTGATGTAATCATTAATTATATAAGATATGCTTACTGAAACTAACTCTATGCTAGGTAGAATTCTAAAAAGTCAACTCTTGAATATTATTTCAATTTTATAGAGATATGAACCATAATTGTCTGGGGTCGCTTTAAAGTCTGAGTTGCCTTAAGAGTTCGATAAGATATTTTTAATTGAATTTCATGCGAATACTGACTTTTTGTCTCTCTAGAAACTAATATACTCTCACTTATATGAGAAACAATTTTAAAAAGTTGGTAGTTGACTTCTCCGTTCCGTTCCTGCTTCTTTATATCCATATATCTATATTGAATAGTATAGCTTACAAGTACCACAATGTCTATTTGACAGAAAGGCTGCTCGTTGAGTTCCACCAAAGGAAACTGTTCTTACCCTTATTTTATTTAAAATGACTTAAGCCTTAAGTTGGTAGTTTTTCATTATTATTAGAAAAAATAATTGAAATTAATGTATTACATTTCATTATCATTGTTACTCCCCTTTAAAAAACATTATAAAGTTACTTCCCGTATTGCGCCATTAGAAAAAGGCAGACAACATAATAAGTATGCTTTTCCTTTAAAATCAATTGTGTTAGAGTGATTTTGTTGATAAAATCGTTTTTAAAAAATGAAAACACGGCAATATGACAGCATAAGACATTTTTTGTACATTTCACTCATCTCTAAATTTTTTGGATTGGAGATATGTAACAATTTTACTCTTGCCCCCCTGGAAAAATTTTGTTTTTCCCCCTTAAAAAACCCCCCTTTCCCAATTTTTTTGCAAAGAATTTGATAAAAAAAAAAAAATTTTTTTGGGGAAAAATTTAAACAATCCTGAAGAATTGCTGAATACTTAAAAACTGGGAAATAAGATCCGTTTATCAATACTTATAAGTTTCGACATAGGAAATGTTTCGGGTTTTGCTGTTTCATCTGACTTTCTCTGGTTCATGTGTCGGCGACTGCTAGAACATGACAAACAGATTGTTCCAAGTTGGGCTGGCTGGATCTCTCTAACCCCTGAGTTGCAAGATCAAACATCCTCTACAGAAGAGTGCATGCCTCCTGTTTATGCCCAAAGTATAAAAAAAAGCCACTGTTCAGAAAATCCTAGAAATTTCAAGTGTTTCAAGACCTGTTAACCAACAATACCTTTGATTTGGCTGCTGCTAAAAGGCATATTCTATAGTATGGAAAATCCGACTAAGTACAGTGATACTATCATACATCGTTTGCTAGGTTCATACCTTTCCTGATAGAGTTGAGTGAATGTGTTAATGTGTAAACAGCTGAAACTCTCGAAAGAAGACTGCTTTTTGGAGAGTTTGTAGCAGCAGTTATCCAAATCCACAATCCTAGCGCATTGGAAGATATCAACCAAGTGTTAAATGTGCTAGCTGAGAATCAAAGACGTGAACACCTTGAAAATGTGTTAGCAAATGATTCTGTCATTGAATTTTACAAGAGGCATCAATATCACATAGATACATAGATAAGACGGCACAGTTTTGAATGTATTTATTGTAAAGATTTGGCTGGTTCTTCGTTTTATGAGAGCCATGAAGGAAAATGATCTTGACCTATACATATCAACATTATAAAATATACTTCAATTATTCTTTGCATATGATCATCAAAACTATGTAAAATATCTATCTGTATATGTTCTTATGTTGATAAATTGATTCAACACACCCAGGATCAAGAAGGCTTCTTAAGAATAACGGATTCAGTGAAAGCAGATCCAATGTGCCTGGCTCCAGTAATGCTATTAATATAACTATTGTGTAAATAATAAAAATACATGCAAAGTTTCGTAGAGGCATAATATGATTCAGCAGAAACTGTGCTGCCTACTACAGATGGAGTCAAACACGACCCTCGAGAGCCAGCTATATTCGGCCTGGCTGGCATATCATCGGCGGATTCTCCTACACACATTGATACACAACCAGCACATATATAGCTGCATTTGAAAAATAATGTCACGAAACTCAAAAAATCTATATTCAACTTTATGAATCCATTTCCAACAGATTATAGGGATGTGTTGTTCTATTTAAGTTCAGGGGTTTCTGCACCAGAGGAGATCGAAAAGAGTCTGTTTGATGCCTACCGAAATGGATTTGAAGCACACAAAAAGCTCGCCCAAGAACGTCTGGTTGATAAAACCGTTAGTTTTTATGCTCCACTGAAGAAGCATAACTTAAAAAACCTTTGCCGATACAAAGAAATTTAAGAAAGTGACATAAACTCAGAACAACCTTGCCGAAGTTAAGGCCGCTGGCAATGTCTTCGGTCAGCTTATCATATTATAAGAAGAAAATGACATTATCCTTGAGACTTGACACTAACGTACCCGCTTGGACCAATCCCTTGGTCTCTAGCTACAGTGGATGGCTTACCAACAAAGACTGACGAGACAAAACTAATGTATGATCTCGAAGGCGATTATACAATGAACAGAGGTCATGTAACAAAAACATAATATACATGCATATATCTTCAAGAACTTTCTTGTCTCTTTTCAATCCTTTAAGACGCGCTGAAAAAGATTTTGAGATTATCAAAATGCGAGTGTGCAGACTTTGTGACAGATATGTACAAAGCAGAATTTATCAAATTTGCAGAAATGTCACGAAGAGAAATGAGTGATACATACCTGATGAAAGGCAACAAAACCAAAGTTCTGCAAGACTGGAAAGACTTGTAATAATAATAAAAATAAGAAACAATTGATAAGATTGATATTAGAGGAATTGTCTA